CCTTCCCCCCTTTCTTTTTCCCGGCTGCCGCAGCAAACGCCCTTCTGCACCCAAATCGGACCACTTCCTTGCCTTTGGCAACACTTTCGACCAATCGGATACGATTCATCGCAAAAATGAAGAAAAACCCTTGTTCCTGATAATCGCAACACCGAATAATTAGATTACGAAAGGAATTCCAGATTTATAGAATCCAATTACCAGCCTCCATCATGCCTATCAGATAGGGGAGGTTTGGTTTTTGATGGACTAAACTGTGAAATCAGAATATTGAATTCTCCAATATTTTGAGTAAGGCAGCGATTTACAAATCAAACAAAACTGTTTGATTCACAATTTCACTAAGCAAACATGATACATTCTCCCTGAAAATCAGCTCATACCTTCCAAACCCCCATAACCTCAACTTAAATAAGAAAACCGCAGTTATTGAGATAGAATCCACACACCGGAAAACAAGCACAAACCGTGGACTCATCGAAGAACCGAAGAGAGAATAGGGCTTGTAACCACCGACGATCGCATCAAACAGTACAAATCTAAGAAAGGTGGCTCGAATGAGACATCAAAATCTTCTTAACAGTTTTGAATGGAAGCAAACGATCAACTAACACAAGGCACCAAGAAATCGTAACCAAGCTCGGTCATAATTTAAATGACGAAGACTGAATTAGCGTAAAGTTTTACCCGTTGCTGCTTCTGTTAGGGTTTTCTCGAAGGGGGAACTCGGGGTGGAAATGGCGACTGGACTGCCATCAATTTGCAGAGCTTAAAAAAACAAATCTTTAGGTGGAGGCCCATATATATCAAAGTATGGACTCAATGAACATACCTTACAAAGGCCCAAAACATTAACATTGGGCTTACATATGTTATCACATTTAGAAAACTGTCTGAAATAATCGGTAAATAAATAACAAATATAATATATATATATATATATGAATTTATATTTATAAGAAAAATATTGATTTCCTTATATTATATATTGTTGTTAGAATTTGTTTCAACTATATTTTTTTGTAACATTATATATTTCATTATATTTGTATTTCTCAATTTATCGATCAAATCGATTAAAAATAGAAGTGTAAAATAGTTCGGTTCGGTTCGAGTTTGTTCTTAACCTGATTATTTTGAGTTCCGTCTCATATCGACCCAAATTTTTTCAGATCTATAGAACCAAATCCAAAACCCAACTTTATAGAACTCGTATTGAGATTCGAGTTGGATCGACCTGTTATTTATACATTAAGATATATTTTATATTTATTTTTTAAAATTAAATCGGACGAGTCCATTCGAATCCTTATTTGAATTCGATCCGAAAACCCATAATTTTTCGGTCTACAAATTCAAATCCAAAATTTGATAATTTTTTTTTTACTCGGTCGGGCTTCGAACTCGGTTGACAATCCTGATTAAAAGGTATGTTCTAATTTCTCAATTATCAAATTCGATAGATTTTTTTTGGGATCTTCCAAATAGAAAAATACCGAAATGCTTTTATTTAACATTACAACAACACACCCGTCAATCATCGTGACAATGAACTCGCGAGGAAAATACAAACATCAACAAGAAGCGAACGTCTCACGGAACAGAACCGAAACCAATTCCAGAAAGAAATGAAGAGAAGTCAGAATAGGAAAGACAAAGCGCCGAGGAAAGCGGTGGCGACGAGGTGAGGGGAGGAGAGGAAGGAGGCAGCGGAGGGTTTGGGGGACGGAGAGGGAGCCATCGTCTTTCCGGTCGGCGACGGAGCCATGGCCGGGCCGTGGTGGTGCCCTTCGTGACATTCCGCCGCCATTGCCAGCAGCGCCACGACCGCGCAGACGAAGGCCACTCGGACCATCAAAGATCTCGTCGCCGCCATTCTTCTCCCGTTGGTCAGCTTCGGACAGCGAGGCTGAGTCTTGAGATTAAGATTGTTTTGTTTTTTGTTCCGTGGGGTTATGATGAATTTATAGAGAGTTTCTGGTCAGATAAAAACCCCACTGGGGAGATAATAAAAACAACAAGCGGTGGTTAGTGGGGGGTTAAAAGTCAACGGCCGGGAATGAGTCTTCGCCAGTTGCCACATTGTTTTTTTTTTCCAACAAAAAAAAAACAGATATATGTCGAGTGGGCGACCATTTATATGCCTTTGTACACACGTATGTTTCAAAATACAGCTCAATTTTATAACTGATTTGGTATACAAATGTATATATTGTAAATATATATATATATATATATATATATAGTTCGGTATGATATTTACAAAATGGGCACCATTATTCAATGCCATGCCACGTTACGATACACATAACATTAGTGGTATATTGAGTAATAGAGCCGGGAAGATAACAATGGTTGAATTAAATTGGGTTGAAAGGTCCAACATTAACGAGAGGGTCATTGGTCATTAGACGTGTTGGAATGTCAACCACAATTACATGTTTGTTAATTTTATAATTTCAAACCCCAAAAAAAAAAAAAAAAAAAAAACGTACCACACGAGATGGGAAGCGATGATGTGTTCTCTCAGACGAATATATATTTGCTGTGTGGGCGACCATGTATGTTCTGCACCAGTTGCAACTTGACCCCAATACAGACACAAACCAGTTCTGCATTTTAGAGAGAGATACGATACTAATATATATATATATATATATATATATGGATATAATTCCTCCATTTTGTTGGTCTAAATGTCAAAGAATTCTTCCAAATCTAGTTAGGGTGTCAAATTCAGTTCGAAAATTTAGTCTCCAACCATACTGAACCGATTAATTATATTTCAGTTTCGGTTCGGTTCGATAATGTATAAAAAAATGATATGGAACAAAATTAAGGATATTGAAACGATTCGGGAACAGCTCGATTTGTTTCAACAAATATCAAACGGTATTTCGGTATTTTTTATTTATTATTTTAAAATATTAAATATTAATATTTATTAATGATATTCATTTTTTATATGTTTTGATCAAATAAAAAATAGTATCATAAAATTCATTAACATTTTATTAATTTATTATTTTCATTATATTAAAATTTTCAAAATAAACTCAAACCATATCTACCCATTTCGAAACGTCACATACAAAATCTCTGACCCATTATGATTTTGGTCCTTATTTGATTCTTATTTAGTAAAACTATACCATACTTAGGGGTGGCCAATTCGGGTTTCGGTTCGGTTATATTCGGGTTCGGTTATTTCGGTTATAGAAAAACTATAACCATTCGGTTTTTATATAAATTTCGGTTCGGTTCGGTTCGGTTATTTTTCGGTTCGGGTTCGGTTCGGTTTTGGTAAAAAGTTCAATTTTTCAAAGAAATTGTCGGTTATTCTCTCGGTTTTTTCGGTTATTTTTTATTCGGTTCGGTTCGGTTTCGGTTTCGGTTTTTCGGGTTTAAGCAAATCATAACCGTTCGGTTTTGATGTCGGGTTCGGTTCGGATACGGTTATGTCTTATTCGGTTCGGTTCGGTTCGGTTATTCGGTTAATAACCGAAATGGCCACCCCTAACCATACTGAATCGATACTAATATCGAATTGAATTGAACCGGCGAAGAACATATGGTACTAATATGATATAAATTTTATTATAAACCGTTAACCGTTAAAAATTTGAACCGAAACTTCCAGCCCTGATTTTAATTATGTAATTGTAACGAGGGTCCGGTAAGTTATGGGCCGTCGGATTCGGAGTACTATGATCCATTTGTTCCTTTGCGGTGGGTTATGGGCCGTCGGATTCGGAGACATGATCCATTTCTTCCTATGCGGGCGAATTATGGGCCGTCAGATTCGGAGTACTATGATCCATTTCTTCCTCTGATACTGAAACCTAATGGGCTTTCTCTGTGTCGGCCCTTTAAACATAAAAAGCCCTTTTCCAAAATTAAAAACAAAAAAACAAAAAAAGTGGACTAGACAATATTCGTGGTTCAGTTCACTGAACCGAATATAAGTTGGAATATTTGGTTAGCTGCAATTGTCTTTTCATCAAGATTACGATGATGCACCGTACAGAACAAACATATTTTTCATTGATACTTAATTTATATATGACTTTATTATTATTCATCCCACAAATGTTTTCTTTTCGAAATAAATACAAGTTATAAATTATCCTTTTTATATGCACATATCTACATGATTCCACGAACTATATATATATATATATATATATATATATATATATATAT